TTTTTCCAAAAGCAAGTTTGTGTTGGTCATGAGAAAGTGCCAGTCTGTCTAAGTCCATTTTCTGATGGTAGAACTCAACTGTCTCCATACAATTATCTTGGTATGGGAAGTATGTAAGATTCTTTGGGAGGAGTGTTCTGTTTCATCCAATTCTTCTTTATAACTGAGGAAACTTTCTATGTGAGTTCTCCCACAACCCCATCAGTGGTAGACATCTATAGGTCATTCTTGAATAAATTGTCCACTAAATAGAACTGAAATTTCTGGGTAGTTTCTAGTGTTGATTTCCTATTCAAATGTTTGGATTACTTCACAAGAAATGGCTGGTTCTTCTTCTAAAGGAATGAGGCAAAGCTTTCAAGAATTATTGTAAATGGTCCCTTGCTCTTTTTTTGTGTCCCAGTATTTACTAATAAGTTTCAAGTCTTAAGAAATATATATCCTAGAAATGAATATTGATCTGATATTTGCACACTTCCTCAAATTGTCAGGGTTAAATGTCAAATGCACCTAAGAACTACCTTACTACAATCCATCTCATTCTAATTATGGTCCAAGAATGGAAATCAGTACTCTACCATCATGAGTTATCCATCCAAGGAATTAAGTTACCATCTTCCCTTCTTTTTAAAATTTTATTATTTTTTATAAATTTATATATGACAGCAGAATGTATTACAATTCATATTACACATATAGAGCACCATTTTTCATATCACTGATTTTATACAAAGCATATTTATACCAATTCGTGTCTTCATACATGTACTTTAGATAATGATGTCCATAACATTGCACCATCATTTCTAACCCCATGACCCCTCCCTTCTCATTCCACTCCTCTGCCTTATCTAGAGTTTGTCTAACCCTCCTATGATTCTCCTCCATACCCACTATGAATCAGCCTCCTTATATCAGAGAAAACATTCAGTATTTGGTTTTGGGGATTAACTAACTTCACTTAACATTATTTTCTCCAACTCCATCAATTTACCTGCAAATGCCATGATTTTATTCTCTTTTATTGCTGAGTAATATTCCATTGTGTATACATGCCACATTTTTTTAATCCATTCATCTACTGAAGGGCATCTAGGTTCATTTCACAGCTTAGCTATTGTGAATTTTGCTGCTATAAACATTGATGTGGATATGTCCCTGTAATATGCTGTTTTTAAGTCCTCTGGGTTTAGACTGAGAATTGGGATAGTTGAGTTTAATGGTGGTTCTATTCCCAGTTTTCCTAGGAATCTGCATACTGCTTTTCATATTGGCTGCACCAATTTGCAGTCTCACCAGCAATTTATGAGTGTACCTTTTCCCCACATCCTTGCCAAAACTTATGGTTGTTTGTATTCCTAACAGTTGCCACTCTGACTGGAGTGAGATGAAATCTTAGAGTAGTTTTGATTTGCATTTCTCTAATTGCTAGAGATGATGAAATTTTTTCATATATTTGTTGATTGATTATATATCCTCTTCTGAGAAGTGTCTGTTCAAGTACTTGACCCATTTATTGATTGAGTTATTTGTGTTTTGGGTGATTAGCTTTTTGAGTTCTTTAGTTAATTTAATTTCTAAGGTCTTGATCCACTTTGAGTTGATTTTTGTGCATGGTGAGAGATAGGGGTTTAATTTCATTTTAATGCATATATATTTCGAGTTTTCCCAACATGATTTGTTGAAGAGGCTATCTTTTCTCCAATGTATATTTTTGGCACTTTGTCTAATATAAGATAATTTTAATTTTGTGGGTTAGTCTTTGTGTCCTCTATTCTGTACCATTGGTCTACCAGTCTGTTTTGGTGCCAATACTATGCTGCTTTAGTTACTATTGCTCCATAGTATAGTTTAAGGTCTGGTATAGTGATGCCACCTGCTTTACTCTTCCTGCTAAGAATTGCTTCAGCTACTCTGGGTCTCTTATTTTTCCAGATAAATTTCATGACTGCTTTTTCTATTTCTATGAGGAGTTCCATTGGGATTTTGATTGCAATTGCATTAAATCTGTACAGTGCTTTCGGTACTATGGTCATTTGGATAATATTAATTCTGCCTATCCAAGATTAAGGTAGATTTTTAAATCTTCTAAGGTCTATTCAATGAAAAGTATAGAACCCTAAAGAAAGAAATCAAAGAAGATACTTTCATTTTTTTTCTTTAGGGTTCTATTCTTTTCATTGTATAGAACTTTCACCTGTGTTAAAGTCACCTAAGATTTTTTTTTTTTGAGGCTATTGGAAATGGGGTAGTTTTCCTCATTTCCCTTTCAGAGGATTTGTCACTGATATATAGAAATTATGAATTATGAGTGTTGATTTTATATTCTGCTACTTTGTTGAATTCATTTACTAGTTCTAGAAGTTTTCTGGTGGACATTTTCAGGTTTTCTAGGTATAGAATCATATCTTCAGCAAATAGTGCTAATTTGAGTTCTTCTTTTCCTATGAGTATCCCTTTAATTTCTTTCATCTGGCTAACTGCTCTGGCCAGTGTTTCAAGAACTATGTTAAACAGAAGTGGTGAAAGATGGCATTCTGGTTTTGTTCCAGTTTTTAGAGGGAACACTTTTAATTTTTCTCCATATAGAATGGGGCTTAGCATAGACAGCCTTTATGATGTTGAGATATGTTCCTGTTATCTTTAATTTTTTCTAGTGTTTTGAACATAAAGGGATGCTGTATTTTGTCAAATGCTTTTTCTGTGTTTATTAATATTATCATATGATTCTTATGTTTAATTCATTTGATGTGATGAATTACATTTATTGATTTTTGCATGTTGAACCAACCTTACATCCCTGGGATGAATTACACTTGATTGTGGTGCACTATCTTTTTGATATGTTTTTGTAGTTGATTTGCCAGTATTTTATTTAGAACACATTCATTAGGGATATTGTTCTGATTTTTTCTTTTCTTTCTTTCTTTCTTTTTCTTTTTTTTTTTTTTTTTTTTTGATGTGTCTTTGCCTGGTTTAGAATCAGAGTGAAATTGGCCCCATAGAATGAGTTTGGAAGTGCTGCCTCTTTTTCTATTTCCTGAAATACATTGAAGAGTATTGGTGTTAGTTCTTATTTAAAGGTCTTGTAAAACTCAGCTATGTATCCATCTGGTCCTGGGCTTTTCTTGGTTGGTAGGATTCTGATGTCATCTTCTATTTCATCACTTGATATTCGTCTGTTTAAATTGTTTTAGCAACCTGATTCAATTTGGGCAAATTATATGACTTAATAAATTTATTGATGCCTTCAATATTTTCTTTTTAATGGAATACAAGTTTTCAAAGTAATTTCTAATTATCTTCTATATTTCTGTAGTGTCTGTTGTGATATTACCTTTTTCATCACATATGTTAGTAATTTGAGTTTTCTCTTTCCATCTCTTTGTTAGTATAACTAAGTAATTGTCAATTTTATTTCTTTTTTCAAATAACCAACTTTTAATTTTGTTAATTTTTTTCAATTGTTTCTTTTGTTTCAGTTTCACTGATTTCAGCTCTAATTTTAATTATTTTGTTTCATCTACTGTTTTTCGTGTTGATTTGTTCTTCTTTTTTCTAGGGCTTTGAGATGTAAGGTTAGGTCATTTATTTTTTGAATTTTTCTTATTTTAAGAAATGAACTTCATACAATGAACTTTCCTCTTAGTACTTCTTTCATAATGTCTCAGAGATTTCAATATGTTGTGTCCATGTTCTCATTTACCTCTATTTTTTTTTTAAATCTCCTTGGTGTCTTTTGCAAACCATTGTTCATTCAGTAGCATATTATTTAGTCTCCAGGTGTTGGAGTAATTTTTATTTTTTATTTTGTTATTGATTTCTAATTTTATTCCATTATTATTTGATAAATTTCAGGGTAGTATCTCTACTTTTTTGTATTTTATAAGAGATGCTTTGTGGCATATTATGTTGTCTATTTTAGAGAAGGATGCATGTGCTGCTGAGAAGAAAGTGTATTCTCTCATTGAAGGATGAAATAGTCTATATATGTCAGTCAAGTCTAAGTTATTGATTGTATTATTATATGAGATCTATAGTTTCTTTGTTCAACTTCTGTTTGGAAGATATATCCAGTGGTGAGAGAGATGTGTTAAAGTCACCTAAGATTATTGTATTGTGGTCTATTTGACTCTTGAACTTGAGAAGAGTTTCTTTGATGAACATAGATGCTCCATTGTTTGGGGCATATATATTTAATTGTTAAGTCTTGTTGGTGTATGGTTCCCTTAAGCAATATGAAATGAGGGTGGAGATACCAGCTAACAACAGACAACCGCACCTGTTGGATGAGAAGGGAAGCAGGAAAGAAACTGATTTCCCAAACAATCAATAATCCTTTTTTTTTAAGACTTTTCTTTTTTTCCCCTCTTTTTCTTCTCCCTATCTATACTCCCACCCTTACATACACAACATATGTGAAACCAAGTACTTTGCATAAATTAGAATTTTGAGTACTGGAATGTCTGAATAGTATATTAGAGGTGTGTTGTATATGCCTTTGCTTTTCTTTTTTCCCCTCCAATTTTTACTATTTTAATATCATTTATTTTTCTGAATACATATGTGTATTTGTTTTAATACTTTACTGTCTTCAAATGGAAGATATTAATTTTCAACATAAATGGAAAACCTTTCCATTTTGTGGGATATAAAGGTTAATGTTGGGGAAGACATGGGTAAAGTGAACCAGAATTTCTCCTGTCTTCAACCAAGCTTCATGATGGGAAGTTGTAACAATCACACTCAAAGATAAGGTAGTAACAAGAAGGGAAAATGTGGAGAATCCAAGATGGCAGGCCAGAGGAAGGCAGCATTCTGTGTAGCTCCTTGACCTAGGTCTCAACTAGTGGGAATACTGTTTCTATGAGAGTGATAGAGGACATCTACACAGCTGCTCTCATGCAAAAATCACCAATGCTGTGCCCCTGCACAGGGCTCCGGGCCTCAGCATTAGAGCAGGACTCCTGACTCCTGACACCCAACTCCCGACTACTAACCCATGCAGGGCTACTCCCCTGTGAACCCACATCTACCAACAAGGGGTCCCCAGTCCCTCCATCTTGTGACTCAACTTTGGCAGCTATGGCCATAGTCCCCTACATAGTAACCCACCTGCACCTGGGGACATCTCACAAGCTCTGAAGACAGTCAAAAGCCACAGTACTAAATGTCACAGAGCTCATCTCTGAACTCATCACACAACACCATCACCATCATCCAGCTCCCCCAACCCCACCTTACACCCTGGCACACTGGAAGTGGACAGCCTCCATCTTGGGTCATCTTCCTCCACTGTTTGGTGGTGGCAACTCCCAGATTGGAACTCCAGCTGGTCAGGTACCCCATTTTCAACTCCTCGCTCTCCCCAGTGGCAGTAACCCGGCCCACTAACTGCCCAACGCAAAACATCTCTCAGTGGAATGGGTGTGTAGTACGACCAGGGCTCCACAGTTGGAAGCCTCAGTGAGAGAGGTCTCTTAATTGGGAACTGCTAAGGCAGAGGGAGACAGTGCAAAAGTCTGGAGACTAACTTTCCCATCCTGGTTACCTTCACCATCCTGAGGGTGGAGATACCAGCTAACAACAGACAAACCCACCTATTGGATGAGAAGGGAAGTAGGAAAGAAACTAGTTGAGACCTGGGTCAAGGAGCTACAGAGAATGCTGCCTCCCTCTGGCCTGCCATCTTGGATTCTCCACATTTTCCCTTCTTGTTACTACCTTATCTTTGAGTGTGATTGTTACAACTTCCCACCATGAAGCTTGGTTGAAGACAGGAGAAATTCTGGTTCACTTTACCCATGTCTTCCCCAACATTAACCTTTATATCCCACAAAATGGAAAGGTTTGCCATTTATGTTGAAAATTAGTATCTTCCATTTGATTTTTCCCCTTTAAAGTTAGCCCAGAAATGGAGTATGAGTGGTGGTGGTTGAAGATGAAAGGAGGAAGTGTAGATGATTGCAGTGGATCTGGTGCAGATCGACCCTATTAAACCACCAGGGATTGTGTCCGTCAGTCTTAAATGTGAACTTATTGCACTTTTGATTTCACTCTTGGAGCTCTGGTCAAAAAAAATTCTATAATTTTAATTTTTATAGTTCAGTAGACAGCAGTGTTCTTGCAGGTGATGTCTAAATCACAAGTCAGCAAACTCTTGCCCATAGGCCAAATCTTGACAACTTGCTTTTATAGATATTTTTTACTAGTACATATCTAGTCTCTATGGTTCATTGTCTATATTTCTTTTTGGGCTGCAACAAGATTGAATGGGAGAGATAGTCTATGATGTGCAAGGATAATATGTTTATTATCAGAACCTCTGTAGAAAATGTTTGTTGACCACTGATCTAAATACTTTCTGAGTGTACATCTCTCAGTTGGCAAATATAATTATCATTTTCACAATAAAATCCAATATTAAATGTAAGTGTGCATATGTCTTAGGTTTGTAATTTTGTGGATAATTTCCACAGAAATCACCTATATTGTTCAGCGTGTAGTATAAAATGAAAGAAACAATATAAAATCAGTGAAGAGAACTTAGTGTATAGACAAGTAGCTAATAATATGATGAAAAGAATAAATTTACTTAAAAGAAATATCAATCATTTCATAAGATAATGATTAAGAATTTGATTTAAATTCTAATTGAGTTTTGACATCTGTGTGGAAATTTGATGGACACTTGAGATATTTTAAGGTCACAAAAATCCATAGAATAACACATATTGCTAATAAAGATCTACACAACAATTTCAAACTGCATGCACAACAGCAATATGGTTGATGCATGCTTATTTTAAAAAGCATAAAGATGATCTTTGCTCAGAAAAATTACTCTTTTAAAGGCAATAAGTCATTATGATGATGAAAATTGACCAATCTCAAATGTGAAACCCATATTCAAAGATTTAAAATGAAGTCGTCACTCTCCCCCATCAAGGAAATAGACTAAATTCAATAACTTGTACGATAATACTATGATGTATATCTAAATGACAACATTAGTCACATAGGAGACACATTAAGAATCCAAACAGAGTATAACAGTGAATATTCAGTGCTATTTTTATGATGATTTAAGTGGAAAGTTGTACATTGGATAATAAAGAACATGAACCTTCTTGATCTGAGACTTTGAAATCTCTGTTAAAAGCCAAGAACACAGATCTATTTAAAAGGATTTATTTATGAATTTTCAATGAAGTTTAGATCTACACCTAGAATCTGTTGATCATGTGTTGATCCTGGCCTTTCACAGTGTATTTCAAGTACTCATGCCACCGATCCCCCCATTCTTGCCATATTGTGCTAGAGATCCTATATCTAAGTTACGATTTATTTTCTACTCAAATTCTTCAGATTGTCCCTCCATTTAGAATTGTATTTTGTTATGATGTCAAGACTCAATGGAAAAACTGAGGGTCTGACATCTGCAATAGCAAATTATGATCTGTGTCCTCAAAGCCTAGTAATATTTGGTGTATTAAATTGGCACTCAATAATTGCTTAAAAAATGAAGAATATTAGTCCAGATATGGCTTATGGATGGTTATAATTCTGGTTTTGCTGCTAGTTGCTGTAGAAATTGCTCTAGTCACCCTTGGTTAAATAGTGCAAACCATTTTCTGCCATGTGAAGAAGGCTGATTTGTGTTTAGAGGTTCACTCAGGTAGCAGCTTCTAAGGACCTCCGAACCAGGCCTATCCTATTGTAGTCTATCCAAGTGTGTAAGCCCATTCTAACTTCAGTTCTCTCCTTGTCTTCTGTGCCATGTTTCCATGACAGCCATTATGCCCTGAAGCTTTTTTCCTAAAATGTAACCTATTACACCTGACATGGTCTTCAATATTTTATAAGATGGATCTAAAAATGAATTATACGTTGCACATTGTAGTGAAAGGGAAGAGCCAGGTATGTACAAACTTGTGTGTGTAAGTTCTGACTGTGTGACTGTCAACAAGTTGCCTAATTTCTGTGAGGTTTGCTTTTTTCATGTGTGAAGAAAAATATTGAGAACTCATGTTTTTTTTTTTTTTTTTTTTTTTTTTTGTAGTCAGAATGGAAAGTTAAAGCATTAATCTCAGTACATTGGCAATTGTACATATTCAATAAATTCAGTTCCCTCCCTGCTTTCTTGGAAAATCAGTCTAGGAAGCCAATTGCATTATATAGACATTTTCCATTTTCAGAATTCCAGAAAGAAACAAAGAAAGAGTTCATATATTTAGAGGACATTTTTTCTACTGTGATGGGAAATTTTTCTAAGATGTGAAATGTAAAGTGAATATTTAATGCATGTTAATCTTTTTAAAGTCTCATCTCTTGGATTTAAGATTATAAGGAGCAAAGCCACAGGTTAGTAAAGATCATTGTAACTGCAGGATGGGAAATGTGACAACTACAAGCATAGTAGTTCTGATTAACTTTACCTGGAAGATGTTTGAAAGATTTCTTCAGATTCTTCGCAGCATTTAACAGATTCCAGCACCATTAAACTAGCAAGAACCATTTAGAAGATGTTGAAAAAGTCACAGCACTTTTTGAAGATTAAAGAGTCAGGCTTTACATGCTGTTAGTGTTGATCACCAAGGAAGAGCTTGCCAACATCACAGCTTAGGAGTTCAGGAATTCTCTAAACAGAAAATGCATCTTCAAAACACTCTAGCTGTCTAAAACATGGCAACTGCCCGCTTACAGACACAGTTTATAGTGAGAGATTATACACATGTAAATAAAAGTTTTTTTTTACACAGTCTATTATCTCAAGAGCTTCTAGGATGCTTCAAATCAATCATCATCTCATTGATGAGTTCATTGTCATAATAATTTAAGTGTTTTTCATTATATTATGTTTGGCATCTTGGGAAGAATAGTAACTAATTCTTGTCTTTGTATTCTATTTTTGTGCCAGAAGTTTAGAACATATCCACAAATAAGGTAGAGAGTGACAATTATCCATTTCATACATAAAAGTGCATTTAAATATTGTGTTAGTTTTTTTGTTGTTGTTTTTTTTTTGTTTGTTTGTTTTTTGTTTTTTTTTTGGTGGCTGTGACCAAATGTCTAACAAGAACAACTCACAGGAGAAAAAGTTTATTTTGACTCACAATTTCGGAGGTTCAGCTCAAAGTTGGCCAATTCAATTGCTTTGGGCCCAAGATAAGGCAGATCACTTATGTGGGAAAGTTCAGTGGGAGGAAGTGGCTCATCTCAAAGCAGCACCAGGAAGCTGAGAGAGTGAGGGGTGAGGGGGGAGTGGCTGCCGAAAAGATGAACCCTCCCAGGGTACAACCTCACTGAACCATATCCTTTCGTCATGCCTCACCTGCCTAAAATCACCACAGAGTCCATTCAAACTAGGATGGACTGATTAGGTATAGCTCTCTTAATCTAATCATTTAACCTCTAAATATTCCTTCATTAATACAGGAGCTTTTGAAGGACACTTCACATTTAAACCATAATAGATGTCGACTAACAGCATGTTTCTAAGCATGCTCAAACAATGCATGCCTGGATAATCTGAGGTCCACTGTAATAGGGCAAGCCTGCATATACTGATGAGCGAATCTAGAAAGCACCTCTCAGTGGAGAAGTAGATCTAAAAATGGGTGATTGCCTAGAGTTCTTCCTTGCATTCAGGGTATACTCATTTTATTCCTTGAAATTCAGCAGCCTTATGCATAGTACAGGAATGGGGCAGAGAGAGGACCATAGTGTAATTCTTGAAGAAAACTCATGAAAGAATGATCACAGGTTAATGACCCTGTAGCATGACATCCAATCTATTTGGTGCTTACTTCAACATAACAGGCAATCCTAGAACAAGGAGACAAATTGGAACCATAATTTAGACATACTTGAGTGTCAATGAAGGCATCTGAGCATCATAGCTTTTACAGGCTTTCCTTTATTATCATGTAAGCTCAGCCATGCATTAACTGCATTTACAAATAGGTTTTGTCCAGAGAAAATGTTCTCAGGTTATTTATTCTGCAATAATTTTGGAAATGAAATTCTGAATACATTTACTTTTCAAAGGGAATACATATATTGAGAAAAGCAGAGGACCAAACATATCAGT